ACCAATGGACTATCTTTCAAGTTAATGAGCCATACTCACACTTCGCTTGTTAACCACAACTCAATGTAAATTGTGGCCTACTTCGATTATTCCTCATTCCTTTCCCGTGTCTTTTTTTTAAACGGCTGTTCAGCAATGACGTTGCACGCCGCATCGTCTGATCTTTCCCCTCTTTGATGTTCTCTCCTCTTCTTTCTTTTCCTTTCCTTTCCTTTTCTCCCTTCTCTTCTGTCTTTCTTTTTCCAATCAAGTCGATGATCGTGAACTTCATCGTTTTTCAAGACACATAAATGAATCCATGGCTGATCGAAGACGTCTATTAGAGGGATGAGTTGATAGCAGTAGGGATGATCCGTACGTAATTGAAGTTGACCATTAGATCTTCCCAGACAGATATGTTCGCAACTGACAATTAAGTCGTCCCAACTATCACCAGGATCGGCATAGGCCCATTAATATCCTGCAAGTCCATAGCTCGTCGTGTTATTGAATTTCTCCGCGACCAGAGCGCCCGGATTACAGCATAGATAATGTGCAACAGGATCTACGATTAATCAACAAGGATACGTCGCAGTATTGATTCCAGCTAAAGGTAAACTATAAGACCACTCTTCTGACTGGAAATTATCTTACCAGCTTCTTTCTCACTAACATAGCGATGTCGATATGTCTCTTCATTGAGAATCCCATGTCGAAGCTCAGGAATCGTGAAAATACTTTTTGTCGATTCCGATCGTATTCGACAAATTCCATGCTGCCGGATTCCAGTAAGAAGCTAAAAGGAAATTTCCGGCCACTTCCTGATCGTTTGTGGAGAAAAAGAAGATAGATTATCACGCGCCTCATTCCATCGCTTTCCAGCGGACAAGATTCAACAGCGAGTTTGGCTCAAACGACTAAATCTTTTGGACGATAACGATGTAACGAACAAAAGAGTATGCAGTGTTCATTATGAAACATTATCCATCGTTGTGCGTGCTTCCAATGGCAACAATCATCGACGATGACCAAAGCATAAATGACTTCAGTGGATTTCGATCATACAATATTTTTCGAATGGTATTCGAATTATTCCAAGTGAGCCGCTCCTGATGACCTGCAGATAATTGCCACTGTTTATGTCCTCTCAGTCTCAGCTCGATGAACAGGAACTTCTAGGTGCGCCAGCATTTGACTACAAAACTCGCACTCTCTTTTTTCAGGCAGATTATTTCAATATATCGCAGGCAACGGTGACCCGTATTGTAATCTGGCCGACGAGGTTCGTCTACTCAGTCGTCTCGTCAATTGATTTGTGCTCGTCAAAAGGGTAAATACAAAGTCTACTACCTTTCAAAATGAAGAAGAATTATTCTGGTATTCGCGTGAACATCGATTGCACGGAGCTCGAGATCGAACAATCTATGATTCCTCACGCTCAGCAAGACACATGGTCCACTTACAAGAAAGCCAATATAGCAAAAGGTTCGCTATTTGGAAATCTCTTTCATCCAATATTTCCATATTCTGTAGGCCTTATAAGGATCACACCCGACGGAATCGTCTCCTTCATGCCTGCCCTCTACAGGGGGCGGCGGAATAATGGCTGACAGAGAATTCGCGCTCGATGCAATACATCCACCATTTCTCGGCCGACACAAAAAGCTCTCCGCCGAAATGGTTCTCACAGCGTGGATGGTAGCTCGTAACAGAATCCATGTCGAGCGTTGTATGGGACGTCTAAAGAATTTCATATTACTGAATGGCATCATACCGTTGAAATCTATTTATTCTCAGGTCGATCATTCCGGCGCAGTTTTCGCCGATTCCAGCAAGTTCCTTGCCGCCGGAACCGACCGTGCCATAATAGCCTGGGTATTTGTGCTCTTTCTTACGGTTTTCGATGAACCGCTAGTAAAAATAATATAGAATTTACTTTTAATATGGTGCTAACCTGTGTCTTGTTTATTCAATAAATTTATTTGTGTACGAAAAAAGTACTTATCCTTAAGAATGGAAGACTGGCAAGATATGCTAGGTAACACCGAATAGATTGAGTCGCACTATTTTTCTCTATTCTGTGATGAGTTCAATCGATGCTTGTCTTTCGATCACGATCATCGACTTGATTGAAAAAAGAAAGAGAGAAGAGAAGGAAGAAAAGGAAAGGAAAAGAAAGAAGAGGAGAGAACATCAAAGAGGGGAAAGATCAGATGATGCGGCGTGCAACGTCATTGCTGAACAACTCTTAAGAAGGAAAGTTAGAAATGAGGTAGAATGAATATGCATTGGCCGCAGCGTAGCTGAATTGATGACCAGAATGAGAGGTGTGAATATGGCTGATTAAGACANATTAGAATGGCAAAGATATCTAATGTGATAAGAAAAAAAGTACTTTACTCGTGATGTCGTAAATATTTTCGGAAAGTTAACATCGTTATCTAGATAATATGACCGATAGACTAACTCTCAAGTTAATGAGCCATATTCACACTTTGCTTCTTGCCTACAAATCAATACAAATTGTGGCCAACTTGGATTATTCCTCATTTTTTTCTCATGTCATTTTTTAAACGACTGTTCAGGAATGACGTTGCATGCCGCTTTCTCTTATCTTTTCTCCTCTTTGATGCTCTCTCCTCTCGTCTCCTCTCCTTTCCTTTCCTTTCCTTTCCTCTCTTCTTTTCTCTCTTTCTTTTTTTCAATCAAGTCGATGATCGCGATCGAAAGACAAATATACATCGAACTGGCCTCAGGGTAGAAAAAAACAGTACGACTCAATCTATTCGATGTCGCTCAACATATTTTGTCGGTCCTCCATTCTTAAGGATAAGTACTTTTTTCGTACGAAAACAAATTTATTCCAACAAAACTAGTATCAAATACATTACATATAGAGAAGAAAACAGGTCGCGTCTTTGAAACTTCTTCCAGGAAGACATTGAAGTAAAAGCCAGTGAGCCTCTTTCTTATTGTCGACCAAATGTTCGCATCAGGATAAAATCGTTCGATGCGAACTTCATCATTTTCCAAGACACATAAATCAATCCATGGTTGATTGGAGACACCCATTATAGTGATGAGCTGATAGTAGTAGGGATGATCCGTACGTAAATGAAGTTGACCATTAGATCTTTCCAGACAGAAATGTTCACGGCAGACCATTAAGGCGTTCCAACTATCACCAGGATTGGCATAGACGCATTTACGTTCCACAAGTCCATAGTTTGTCGTGTTATTAAAGTTCTCCATGACCAGAGCGTCAGGACTACACCATAGATGAGTTGTAACAGGATCCACGATTAATCCACAAGGACACGTTACAGTATTAATTCCAACTAAAGGTAAACTATAAGACTTCTCTTCTTACTGGAAATTATCTTATCAGCTTCTTTCTCGCTAGCGTAGCGACGTCAACATGTCTCATCATTAAGAACCACATGTCGAACTACATGATTTGTGAGAAGACTTTTTGACCGATGTGCAATAATAGATTGGGCAAGTTCGGTGAAGTCTTCCTTTTGAATAGCAACATCGTGAACATCGATGCTTAAATAAAAATTACTTGATGATACCACAAATATTTCTGATGCTTGGAATAACTCACTTGAGATGTGTAGCTTTCTTGCTTCGTGCCAATGAGTTGATGACGCTTGTCTACGAGTTGCTTGCTCAAGCGACGAAATGTCAGTATATGAAAGATAGATGTTGTCTGCGTAACACTTTGTCAACGTCGTGGCGATGATCTCTATTTCAGAAATGAAGATACGACCAGTAATGCGTGATGGGATAGGAAGAAATTCTGAATTTTGTTTTTGTGGCAGTAGAAAGAAGGCTGTTGCTGTTGATTGTTGTTTGTATTTGGTACGCAGCTGACGTTGAGTACACGCTTCGTATAGTTTATTTCGATCGTAATCAAGTAGCGAGAAGCATAACGCCGCCAAATGCTTGCAAGCAGCTCTTGGTCCAGTTTCAGCCGCAAATTCGCATGAACCTCCGAGTATATTCGCTGGTTTATTAATATTAGTTCCCATCGTCAACTAAACATGAACAGTCGTTTATGATTGATAAGATTTAATAATAGATTCACCTCATAGATTGTGGTCTTCTTCATTTACGCATGACATTTCGCTGACATTGTCCGCTTTGTATATCGTTTGCAGATACTTATTGAATGAACAGAATGATCATTGAACAGTAAATTTCCATTTTTCAATGCACCACGGTCCAGTTTTCCATTAGAGGCCAAAACCGAAGAGAAATACTCTATAATCGACCCCAAATCAAGTTGGAATCGTTGTCTGTAGCTCACAATCGACACAGGAGTAGGAGATGATGACACAACCATGGCGATGTAGAACAAGTTGAGCAAGTGAAGGAAAGAGACAATCAATGTTCTTACTAATATCTCACACATGCACTCATGAGTAGCCTAATTTAATTACGCATGTGCAGCTTTGATACAGCCATTATTCATTTCGTTTTATTACCTCGACGGTCATTGACCGTTTTATAATAGATAGATATATTATGCAATATAGCGGTCAGAAATAGGTGTATGCGAGCTACAGTATGCTATCCATATACTATTATGGGCACTAATAATAATAAGAAACTTCGTAGCAAACCTTTAAATAAAAGAATAAACGAGCGGATTTCTCTTAGCTTTGCTTCTTATTCCTTTTTCAAAAATGAATCCCGTCCTGAAAAGGTTAATGAGAGGACATCATGTAACGTAGTACTTAACTCTATTAACCAGTAAAAGACAAGAGAGAGTAAAAAGCTGATAACATGGTAAAGAAGTGCATCGCTTGTGGAGGAAAAGACGATAGATTGTCACGTGTCTCATTCCATCGCTTTCCAGCGGACAAGATTCAATAGCGAGTTGGACTCAAGCGGCTAAATCTTTTGAACGTTAACGATGTAACGAACAAAAGAGTATGCAGTGCTCATTTTGAACCATGAATCTTCGTTGTGCGTGCTTCCAATGGCTACAACCATCGAATATTTCAACAAAACAAGAAGTACCTCCGGAAAGATGCATTGCCGATCGATTCTACTTTGACTGCGCGTCATATCTTAGCTGAGACCCAAACAGAACCAGACCTGGAGTCTCTTACAGCGGTGTTCCAAAAGCCGACGATTTTGGAAAAAGACATTAAACACGCTACCCTCTGTGTTGAACGCTTCGTCGACGACGATCGAAGCTTAAGCTACTTCACTGGATCTCGATCGTACAAGGTTTTTAAATGGTATTCGAATTATACGAGATGAGTTGCGCCTGATGAGTTGAAGATGGTTGTCGTTGTTTATGTTCACTCAATTCCAGCTCGACGAACGCTTCGTTCCGTACGTCACACGTTTAACAGCAACCATGCGTAATTTCAAGCTCAGCGACGTTCAGATGTTGTCGCCGAGAAATCAGTTCTTTCTCTTCATGATGCGTTTGCGTCGAGCAACCGATGAACATGAACTTGTAGGTGCACCAACATTTGACTACAAAAATCACACTCTTTTTCAGGCTGTTTACTTCAATATATAACAGACAATGGTGAGCCATATTGTAATTTTGTGGACGAGGTTCGTCTATTCAATTGTCGATTGATTTGTGGCCGCCATAAGAGGAAATACAAAGTCTACCAGCTTTCGAAATGAAATTGGGCGACGGAACAATGGCTGACAGAGAATTCGCGCTCGATGCAAATCATACCCATCTGAATTTGATACATTCACCATTTCTCGACCGACACAAAAAGCTTTCCGCCGAAATGGCTCCCACAACGCAGATGGTAGTTCGTCAGAGAATGCATGTCGAGCGTTGTATGGGACGTCTGAAGAATTTCATATTGCTGAGTAGCATCATACCGTTGAAATCTATTTATTTGTTAAATTATAGGTTTTAAATTTGTACTGTTCTTACGGTTTTTCATGAACCATTAGTAAAAATAGCATAGAATTTACTTTTAATATGTCTCTTATCTATGTCTTTTTTATTCAATAAATTTGTTTGTGTATGAAAAAAGTACTTGTCCTTAAGAATGGAGGACCGGCAAGATATGTTGGGCGACATCGAATAGATTGAGTCGCGCTGTTTTTCTCTATCCTGTGACCAGTTCGATGGCTGCTTGTCTTTCGATCGCGATCATTGACTTGATTGGAAAAATAAAAAGAGAGGAGAGGAGAAGAGAGACGAGAGGAAAGGAAAGAAAAGGAGAAAAGAGATAAGACAAAAGAGGAAGAAATAAGAGAAAGCGACGTGCAACGTCATTGCTGAATAGCTCTTAAGAAAAGTTAGAAATGAGATCGAAGGAATCTACATTGGCCACAGCGTAGCTAAATTTGTGGTCTAAATGGGAAATGTGAATATGACTCATTATTACACTATTTCAAATGTATATCCTT